CAGCTGTATTATTTGTACCCACTTAAATGACATAGGAAACGTCGGCAAGGTTTAATTGAATTCAACTTCAAGTCAGTTTTTTTTAGTTTTGCTACATGTCTACCCGAAGTAAAACGCCACTTTTTGTTTTCTTCAGGTATTTCTGTATCTACGCTGCGCTGACAGTCACTTTTTCATTTCTCATGATTGTGACATTCTTCGTGGCCATTATGTCATATGAAGTGAAAAGAATCAAATCGGGCCGCAGAGATTGTTTACCATTCTGCTTTGCACCTCAACCAAAGGAGGGCGCGCCAGCCTGGGACGAACCTCGTCCACAGACCTCAAATCAGGCCATGCAGCGGTGGGGTAAGTTCTTGACCCATCCTGTAACGAAATGTGTGGTCATATGCTTCTCGCTATTGCTGCTTGGTGCTGGAATATACGGAGTAACCCAAGTGGAAGAAGCGTTTGATAGACGAATCCTGGCAAAAGATGATACCTACTTGAAGCGATTCTTGACTGCTCAAGAAGACAATTTTGATGTGTCCATTCCGGTGAGCATCGTGGAGAATAGCGATATTGATTACGAGCTGGACTCCACCCAGGAACAGATCAGAGAGCTGACAAATATAGTCACAAGCAATACTTATTTCAGAAAGGAACTATCACTGTCTTGGATGAACTCATTTTCTCAGTATGCCAAGATGTATAAGAAGGACATAACCGGTCCTAGATTTTTGTCCGAGTTGAAGGCATTTCTTCGCATCTCCAACTTTTCCTATTTCAATCAAGACTTGAAGTTTTCCGAAGACGGCACAAAGCTGCAAGCTTCTCGTGTCCTCGGTTTTATGAAGAGTGACGGCAGCTCCACCTTCCAGAAAAACGCCATGCTTACACTCCGAGATGACATCGCAGAAAAGTCCAAACTCGATGCCTTTCCAATCACTCGACCGTTTATATTCTTTGAACAGTATGTTTTAATATCAACGGAGACAATAAGGAACCTGATAATCGCAGGCCTAGCGGTGTTTATTGTCACAAGCCCCTTTCTGGTGGACTGTACTGTGGCGTTACTGGTGGTGCTCAACTTTGCAGCCTTAATTTGCGAGCTATTTGGGCTGATGGTTATCTGGAATGTGTCCCTTAACACCGTGTCCATGATCAACCTCGTAATGGCTATTGGGTTCGCAGTCGATTACAGCGCGCACATTGCGCATGCGTACGTCGTGTCAACCAAGTTAACAGCCAATGAGCGAGTAGTGGAAGCTTTGAGCACTGTGGGTGCGAGTGTCTTAATGGGAGGTACGTCAGCTTTTTTATCCTATCAGAGAAGCTTTATTTAGCATTGTAGAAAGCTTAGATAAATGTTTTCAATTTAAACTCAACCTTGGGTTCGTACTTTCCAAATTTCTCTAGTGTTACCAGTAAAATACATTCTCAGTATAGTTTGAATTCACTGACCAGGGAACAGGTGCATGTGAAGGGATCAAAACATTAATCGCTACATACGACGTACACTTTTCAAGATAGACCTCAAAATTTCCAGAACTAACGTTTAACGAATGTTTCACAGATCGATCAGATTTTTCCATGGTTCCATTTTCTTTGCTTTCATTGGCCATGGCTCTTGACCGATGAGCACGCGAGAACTCTCTCAGTTATTGTAAAACTTGTAAACAGTCGCAAAAGAGATGAGAACAGACCGAGTAAAACTAATCAATGTAAACCCTTCTTGGTGTTAACTTAATTTCTAGGATAAGTTCACGAATGGGGAGCTCACAAATTTGTCAATGACCACACTGAGATAACTTGTAATCATATCCTTTATTTGAATTGTTTCTTCATGTATAGCGTCCCCAATTAGAACAGCTTGTACTAAATAAATACAGTGACACTTAAATAAAGTGATTTTTTAAATTCTTATTATTATTTTTACTGTCATTAATTCTGTTGTATTATGCCCTGAACATATGCATACGACGTTTCCTATATTTCCATTCAGGTAGCTTTTGTTAGTTTGTGAAAGGCGCACTGTGTCTTTTATGTGAGTTTTAACTGTTGTTTGTGTTTGTGGCTGCAGGATTCAGTACCTTCCTCGGCATGATCGTGCTGGCGTTCGCCGCTTCGGAGATCTTCCGGATATTCTTCCGAATGTTCTTCGGCATTGTCGTGCTCGGTCTCCTTCACGGACTGTGTATTATGCCCGTTTATCTGTCCTTAATGTGCTGGAGACCTGCTGTTAACAGACCTCCTTCGGTAAGTGACAGTGCTGAGAAAGTGAACGACGGTTTACACTTGGAATCGATTGGAAGTGAAGAGAAAGTCGGCGCGAACGATCTTACGGGTTCACCACTGTCTGGAGGCTGTGTGGAAGAGACTCGGGAACCAAACAACGCTGAGCAAACCACGCAAAAGGGCGAAGACGGAAAAGATGGTGAAGTCGGAATTCAAAATAACGCGGTAACAACTGATGACGAAAACGACGTTGGAGAGAACAAACAGGACAACACGATAATCAGTGATCCTGAGCTCAACAAGTACAAAGTAGAGAATGGTGAAGAGCTTGCTCACGGCGTCTCGGAGAAAACAGACACCCATAAAAATGACGAGACTTTAACTCCTGCGCCTGTAAACAAGCTTGAACAATCCACGCCAATAGCCAATAGCAATGAGGACACTGCACATGCGTCAAAGGACACAGACAGGGAAGAGGACTCTGTAGCCAATAAGAGAAACGAACAGCATCCGGCTCGCAGAGTGCATTTGCAAAAAGCTCCTCAAGTCACTTTAGTAGGCATAAAACAGCTATAATTTTCTGTCGTGCCTATTGGTTATTCTTTTCGCGAGGTAATGCTATCAAATTGATACAGAGTCGATATAAACCCGGCACTTGTGTACTTTTTACACTGATCAGTTTCTTTGAGCTGTTGTCAGTTTTTGTCACTTTGCTGGATTTGTCCTAATATTGTTTCGAAAATTATCGCAAAAAATCCTTATTTTTTAATTCAATTTCGTAAATAGGTTAATAATGAGTCCAATTATGCATATATCTTTACTTTTTGTTCTTATGTCTTCATTTTTATTTATTAAAAAAATAATTATACCTTGCCAATAATTGGCTGCTCCGAAATTGCGGTCTTAATTAAAGAGTCGAATTGAGAGGTCATACGAGCCCCTAATCAAAGCATTTTTGCTGATCCTGGCCATGTTCTCAGGGTAAGGATAGTTCAAAATATTGATTTCGTGACGGAGAACCCAATTTGGCTGAGCATGCAGGAAGGAGGAAAATTTTGCTTAACTCAGAAGGCAAATGCGGAGTAGTTTACCTCGGTTATTTTTTGTTTGATTGACACAAAAAGCAATATATTTCTATAAATTTATAGGGTGTTGGGATATATTTAACAATCATTCGCCAAAGGCGAGGTAACTATTAATGTATTTATAGGTTGCCTTCAACGCCCAGGCGGCAACACAGCCAGGAAGCGTGGCATGTATTTGTATGTTGAATATTTATCGTATATAATCGATAAAAGTGCCGTTTTTTGTCACTGACTTATATATTTTAGCACGACGTTTTGGCTAACTCTTAAGCCTTCTGATGAAGGTTTAAGAGTTAGCCGAAACGTCTTGCTAAAATATACAAGTCAGTGACAAAAAAAGCACTTTTATCGATTATGTCATCTCCTGACTACATTTACTCAATTTTTATTTATCGTATAGCCTACATGTAAAATTAAGATTAGTACTGTACACCTAAGTAATGCCACAGGAATCCTAAGGAAACAAAAACATTAAACCAGAAACTGAGTTTCTGTCATTTTTAGAGTATGATTACACTTTGCTCCACTCCATAATGCATAAAAGCGAACTTCATTCTCATCTACACTTGACCGTTCACAGCCTCTTTATTTTTCAACGCACGAGAAGGAAAAAGCGAGCGTGAAGCTTGAGGTGGTGGGGGCGGGCATGCGACCGAAGCAAGCTAAACGAATTGTCCTCACCCCGTACCCCGTCAAGTCTCCCGTTTGTCGTTGGCGTCCAGTTCTCTCGCGATTCTAACCGCGAGTTCTACGATTAAACAAAAAATAAGTGAAAATATAGGGCTGTGAACGGTCTACATCTACACCAGAAGCAGTGCTAGCCCACTAATAGATCGTTTACTTGGCGGTCATATATAACCTCTATAAACGTTACCGAATGTTACCAAAGAGATTTTTTCTTAGGAATAGAACTAATTCTGGGACCAAAGGACAGAAATTTTACCATTGCAGTTGGAAGCCTGTTGAACAGGCGGATTAACGGGGCAGAGTACGAAACGCAATACACGAGCGTGGAGTGCGTGTTCGCCCTCAGCGCTCGTGTGCCGCATTTCTCGCTCTGCCCATGCCCAGCTGATCCGCCTGTTCTGCGGGTTAACTGCTTGGGGAAGAGCAAACCGCCGCCATGATGTCATGTGAAAACGCTCTTTTCTGGGACGGGAGGAAGTTTACAGTATTGTGGCCACCTTGATTTTATGTCAATAGAACGATTGCATTACATGTATTGTGCCATTTGTATTTTTACCATGTTCGAGTTAAGATATTTTCCTGAAAATTTTGGAAAAGGTTTTTTTTTTTGGCTCTCACGGCTTGTATAAAATCATGACCGCAGCTTGTACATGCTGTCACTTTTTTTTCCATTTCATGATCCAGATTTAGAGAACTGACGTGGCTTATCATCTACGCATGTACCATCATAGACCTGAATTCTTAACAATTTCTTCTCTTTCCCTTTTTTAAAGAGAAGCCATTGGGGAATTGAGAGGGTGGTAAAGGTGGGGTACCAATCACGCATCACACTGAATTTTTCTATTAAATCACGCATCACGGAGAATTTTTTCACCAATCGGGCGCCACGTGAAAAGAAGTAAGCACATCGCCAATGTTACTTTCTCGACCCTAAAAGCGTCGTTAAAAGAAGAACTCTGCCGATTCAACCACAAAAATGCATCGGCAAATATGTGACCTCTCACGCGAAAACGTT